GAACAGACAACGGAAAGCTGCCGTTATTACTTATACCTACGCTATTATCATGCTTGACGTGACACTAAAGTTAAAAAGGTGCCGTTATTACTTATACCTACGCTATTATCATGCTAGACGTGACACTAAAGTTAAAAAGCTGCCGTTATTACTTATACCTACGCTATTATCATGCTAGACGTGACACTAAAGTTAAAAAGCTGGATATCCTTTATATGACGTTGTAGAACCAACCACAACATTTTTTGTAACTGCTGTTGTTTTTCTAAGCAAATTTAACATTCAGTAGTTTGATACTAAAGGCGATAAATTTTATTTTTATGTTTAAAGCAACTAACATTGTCCTTTGCGATGGACCCCATCCACTCTTTTTACCTCTCACTACAGACCGATGTGTGTTTATATTTATAATAATAGGTAATCATCAACTGGGAGTGAATTTCGATTTATCAGTTCTTGTAGAATATATCTCATATCACATATCAGCAGTTCAACAAATGATTCATGATAATTCTGGAGCAGGTGATGTGATTATCTATAGAGACGGTTCTGTGTTAAGACGCCGACTAAGTTAATGGGAGTTCTTCGCAAAAGTGAATGGACGTCACTTGGTGCAACACAGCCTGAGGTATAACATCTAGTTTGAGGATGGAGGCGGAGGCCATCACTGCAGCCTTCCACGGGCCGGAGAACCAGCTGTACTCTCATGTCGTAATTGTAACCGACTCACAGAGCATGATGAAACATTTTGAGACGGGTATACTATGTGAGGAGTGGCAAGCATTGCGTCAGAGGTTTAGGGTGGTTTGCATCCTTTGGATATTTTCTCTAGGTCATGCCTGTGTGTTGCGAAATGAGCAGACAGGTATACTGGCCGGTTCTGCACCACTTGGTGGTGAATTAATATATGACAAGCTATACGTTTTGAGGGCCCTTTGGGAGCGAGTGAACAGTGCGGAGGCACAGATAGATCATTGCGGTCTGAGGAGAATAGCGTTACGAGGAGTTAGCAGAGGATGTGGCCGACGCTCAACATTCAAGGGAAAGGCGAGACGGATAAATAATCAAATAGTTACTGGTGCCATCGGAATTTAAACTCTTCGCTTGCTGCTGACGGAGTGTCCCGAGCGTTATGATGTCGATTCCTAATTCAACATTCCATTTTTTTAAACTATGCGCTTGCTGCTGAAAATTAGGATGGAACGCTTATGGGAATGCACAGAGTACTGTTATTTCAATTCTTAATTAATTAAACATTGACCAGTTCATCCACCTCAAGCGCCATGGTGGTCTTTAGAGAACGGTGACGGAGTGTGCAGTATCCGAAAAATGATGTAGAGGTAAAACTCCATGACCATGCATAGGTGCCACTGAGGGTTCATTGTCTATAAAAAAGCACACAGGGCTGGAAAATTGGGTAGATAAAGAGAGACTTTCAGGCGTAGAGAACGACGTTCTGTAAAGGACATGTTGATTGGAGGTGGGGGGGGGGGGGGGGGCACTGTCATTCATTACTCACCAAGCTATATTTTATCAACTGCATACACATATCCGATAGTGAATTCTGCCTGTGCCATCACTTGCTACCGAAGGGTCTTCTTCACCACATCCACGTTGTCATGCACCATCAAGGACGCGGACTAAAATGTTGAATGTTGAATTGAGAATCTACATCACAGCACTCGGGACACGACCATAAGCACCCCGTTCCCCTTTTCAGCAGCAAGCGAAGAGTTCCAATTCCGATAGCCTTAATGTTGTCCGCCGGCCAGATCCCTATGTAATTTCTCGCAGCGCCATTCTTCCCAGAAGGTAATGATCTATCTGTGAATCCGCACTGTCCAGTCCCTCACAACATCCAGCTTGGCATACATCAGTTCACCACCAAGTGGTGCAGAACCGGCAAGTCTATCTGCCTGCTCATTCCCCAACACACCCGCATATCCTGGAGAACCTGGATGCGGACAAGCCAGTCTGTCTAGCATGGAAGTGCTTCGTTTAGTGCACGGAACCGCACCGATATTGACCAAAGAAAGAGCCATCTTGCTTTGCATCTACGTTTAACTTTAAAATCTTCAGGCCGGGCATTCGGCCTTATCTCACAGTTTTCATCTCATTTCTGGAGAAAATGTCGTCGGCAAAGTCAATTTTATTTGCTGTATATGGGAGACAGCTAAGGTGCTTCTCAGTCGCCACCGCCAGGCTGGCATCCTCGAAGAAATACTGTGGAAGCTTCGAGTTTCCACCGTCTCCTTATGCGCCCAGGGAAGAACATCTTGAAGATGAGAAGACAAGTGAGTTGATGAAGCAGTGAACAAGCCTTTTTTTTTTTTTTTTACACGTTTAGGCGTATTGGACTCATAGGTCTAGAACTGTATTTTACAGACCAGTCGGTACTGATGTAGTCAGCATCACATCGACCGCCTTTACTTCCTTTACCTAGTACCCACTCAAGGTTGGGTCGACCCGTAAGCCAAGGTCAGCTTTAAAAAAAAAATTCGGATTCGGTTTCGGATTTGACCTCACGATATTAGGATTCTCGTACAATGATCTAGCCGCTCCACGACTGGGTTTACTTTTTATTTTAGTTCACCCCTTCTCGGGGGCTCCGAGAGTTTTCGAGAAAAGTCCAGTAGTAACGGGGTGTTAAGATGGTGGTATGAAACGAGCACCTATTTACCCTAACCCCCCTATATTGGACTTTCAATGGGAACCCGTGGATTCACCGAGAAAGGGCGAACTTCTCCTTGACCTCCACCGGTTGTAAACTCTGGCGGAAAGTTCTAGTTGTTCATCCACCTCTGGACTTTAGAACTATTCCAGAACATAAGTGTTGCGTACATATCCGCTTTAAAGATCTGACTTATTTGTATGCAAACTCTAGGTTCATTGCCTTAGGTAGATGCACTCCGAGTAAAGAAGAAGCCCCAAGTTAGTCGACTCCTACGACATGCTTGCTGAGAAGGTAGTGTTTTTTTTTCTTGTTTTCCCCCACAATGGGGCCCCGGAACCCACGCGGGAAATGGGGTGAACTAAAATGATAGTACCAGGCTTTAATATGGTCGAGAAAAAGCCCTCTTCCCTCTTTATCATACATTGAACAGATGTTGTAGGTGGTCATTTGCTGCCGCAGTTTTCAGCGTTTAGTAATTTTTCCTGATCGTTCTGTTAACGAAACCCCTCTAAATGATACCAACACAAAGAACTTAACAAAGTGTTGGGCTGTTCGAAGCCCTTACAAATTGTTTAAAGGTCTCAAAGGGCATGGGAATTGTTTAAGTGAGTAATAATAATAACAGTAATATCGAGTGCTGTCTATGGCAGACACAGAACACACACGGCGCAAGAGCTCATCCCCTCACCATAAAACAAAAGGTACTGGTACTCACCACAAGGTGTCTAAACAATTGCCAGTACTCACCACAAAGTGTCTAAACAAATGCCAGTACTCACCACGAAGTGTCTAAACAATTGCCAGTACTCACCACAAAGTGTCTAAACAATTGCCAGTACTCACCACAAAGCGTCTAAACAATTGCCAGTACTCACCACAAAGTGTCTATTATAGAAACCTTGGCAACAATGCTGCCTAAAAAAGATGTCGGGCGAAACAAATATTAGTATGAATCGGCAGATTACAGCTTGTTTATCATACTTTCGTTATGGCCGCTGCTATTCATCCCAATTGTGTGCTATCAGAGCCAGACATGGACAGTCATGGAAAAACGTTAATTCAAAATTACAACATGTCAAATGAGGTGTGTAAGAAAGGCGGCCGGACCTCCCCCTCCCCCCTCCCTCCCTCCCAGAAAAGACGGCCATCAGTAAGAACTAAGAACAGTAGTAGGTACAGTACCGGTGAATGATTTCATAGAACATTAAAGAATCGAATGGTTTGGTCAGAGTGGAATGAAATCAGCCAGCAGCTAGAGCGTTCTATATGAGAGCAGCAGGCAACAGTGCAAGAGGCCGATTTAGAAAGACATGGATGGAGGGAGTTAGAGAGACACTACAGAAATGCAAAGAGCACCAATGACGCAGGTAGAACACCTGGTCCTCCACTGTACCTGATTTCACCTGAAATAGTCTCGTCTTGTCCTGCCACTGGATTCAGATGGACACAGGTGAGAGTGTGGGGTCGATAACATTGTGCCCAATTTTTCCTCACTATAAACTTATTAATCGCATATGACCGTTTCATTCAGTTCACGGTGAAAAATAGACTGTATACAGACGTCGTGCAAATAAGTTCAGCCATTGCCATACAGTCTGTCTCAGAGAGATACTGAAAAGCAAGAAGCAAGACAGGGCCCCTGATACTGTCGTACTGGATACAGCTAGCATTTTCCAGCATCGATAAGAGTCTGATGCAGTCACAGATTCCATGGACAAGTCACGTCAACCGCTTATCAGACCATCGGCTCCAAAAATAATCTTTATGGGGAGATGCAAGAATATAGAAGCTCCTATGGTGGCCAGAAATAATGCTTCAGGGACACGCTACAAGCATCACTTAAAGCCTTCATTACAAACCCTGTCACTTGGGAGGCTGCTGCGCAAGACTGGACGATATGGCAAACATCTATTCGTAGAGGGAAAGTGATCTGCGGGGAATCAAGAAAAAATGGCAGCTGAACAGCATAGGCCGGCTAGAAAGACCCTATAACAGGTCCTGTACCTACAGCCACTGTTTCCTGCCCTCATTGCCCCAAATCCTTCTGGGCTCGTACTGGGCTTTTAAGTCACCTCCGGACTCACAGACAATCAGTCAGCTATAGTTTGATGACTCTTGAAAGAAAGAGTTGTCTTTGTCACTTGTGATGGACGACCACCATGACATTAACACAAGCAACGCGACCAGCAAAGGATAGGAAACTACATATAACACCTAACTGTGACCTTTACAGCGTAAGCAATAGGACAACAGAGAAAGAAAAGAACGCAATGGCCTCAGCGTTTTCCCAGCAATGTATGTGCATCTTAAACAGAAAAAAAAAGCAATGGTATGTTGTATCATTCCTTCCCAGTTTAAAGCGAAAAGACTCAATAAGTTGACGAATATTAATTTGCATGTATGCAGAAGGGGAGATAATCAGTCATCATGTAAGGCAAAGAACCAGGTACGTAGACCAACAGGACGACCCGCGGTTAGCTAGGAATACAACACCCGAAAGTCCCCGACTAACAGAGGACTGGAATATAACAAACGCCAAAAGAAAACTGTTCGTAGAGACGTCTGGCGATCTCTCTGGCAAACACTACACTACCCCAAGGTAGAAGATGATTGACTAAGTAAAATATACTAAGTTGTAATTTCTCCCGTTTCACATCAGGTCACTCAGACCGTTGGAGAATAATGTTCTTTGCCGGGCTAACAGCGGTGGGACTCCTGCATCTGTTTGTCTACACCACAATGAAACACGAAGAGCGTCCAGAGTTTGTTGCCTACCCACACTTGAGGCTGAGAGGAAGAGTGAGTGCCTCAGCACGTTACGTTAATTTGTTGTGAACAGATTAAACTTCTTGGGCATACCATGCATGCCTGACTGCTTCCAACATAAATGTCTGACTGTCACACAATGAATGTTTCAGTGCTCACCACATCAATGTTTGATTGTCATAACATGAATGTCTGACTATCACAGCATGAATGTCTGATTGACACAAAATGAATGTCTGACTTTCACAACATGAATGTCTGAGTGTCACAGCATGAATGTCAGATTGACACAACATAAATGTCTAACTATCACTGCATGAATGTCTTACTATCACAAAATGAATGTCTCATTGACACAACATGAATGTCTGACTGTCACAACATAAACGAATGACTATCACATCATGAATGTATGACTGTCACAGCATGAATATCTGTCACAACATGAATGTCTGACTGTCACAACATGTATGTCTGACTAACACAGCATGAATGTCTTACTATCACAACATGAATGTTTGATTGAAACAAAATGAATGTCTGACTGTCACAACATGAATGTATGACTTATCACAGCATGACTTTATGACTGTCACAACATGAATGTATGACTGTCACAACACGTATGTCTGATTGTGACAACATGAATGTCTGACTATCACAGCATGAATGTCTGACTGTCACAACACGAATGTCTGACTGTCACAACATGAATGTTTGACTGTCGCAGCATGAATGTCTGAGTGTCACAGCATGAATGAATGCCTGTCGCAGCATGAATGTATGACTGTCACAGCATGAATGTATGACTGTCACAACATGAATGTCTGACTGTCAGAACATGAATGTATGACTGTCACAGCATGAATGTATGACTGTCATACCTTGAATGTCTGACTGTCACAGCATGAATGTCCGACTATCACAACAGGAAAATCTGACTGTTGCAACACAAATGTCTAGTTGTCACGTCATAAATGTCTCACTATTACAGCATGAATGTCTATCACAACAAGAACATCTAACTGTCGCAACATAAGTGTCTGACTGTAGCAAAATGAATATCTGGTTGTCATAACACGAATATCTGACTGTCACAACAAGAACGTCTAACTGTTGCAACATGAATGTCTAACTATCACAGCATGAATGTCTATCACAACAAGAATGTCTGACTGTCGCAACATGAATATCTAACTGTCGCAACATGAATATCTGACTGTCGCAGCATGAATATCTGACTATAACAACACCAATGTCTGACTGTCACAACATGAATGTCTAACTATCGCCACATAAATGTCTGACTATCACAACACAAATGTCGGACTATCGCAAAATGAATGTCTGACTGTCGCAACATGAATATCCGACTTATCACAGCATAAATGTATGACTGTCACAGCATGAATGTATGACTGTCACAACACGAATGTCTGATTATGACAACATGAATGTCTGACTATCACAGCATGAATGTCTGACTATCACAACATAAATGTCTGACTATCACAGCATGAATGTCTGACTATCACAGCATGAATGTATGACTGTCACAGCATGAATATCTGACTGTCACAGCATGAATGTCTGACTGTCACAACATGAATGTCTGACTGTCAGAACATGAATGTATGACTGTCGCAGCATGAATGTCTTACTGTCACAGCATGAATGTCTGACTGTCACAGTATGAATGTCTGATTATCACAACAGGAAAATCGGACTGTTGCAACACAAATGTCTAGTTGTCACGTCATGAATGTCTAACTATCACAGCATGAATGTATATCACAACAAGAACATCTAACTGTCGCAACATGAGTGTCTGACTGTCGCAACATGAATATCTGGTTGTCACAACATGAATATCTGACAATCACAACATGAACATCTAACTGTTGCAACATGAATGTCTGACTGTCGCAACATGAATATCTGACTTTCGCAACATGAATGTCTGACTGTTGCAACATGATTACCTGACTGTCGCAACATGAATACCTGACTGTCGCAACATGAATATCTGACTGTCGCAACATGTATTTCTGACTATCAGAACACAAATGTCTAATTGTCGCAACATGAATGTCTGACTATCACAACATGAATATCTGATTGTCACATCAATAATATTTCCCCTAGCTAACAATTCGTGCAAGTTAATTGTTTAACTATGTGTTTTTCTATCTAACCAACCCCTGTCGAATACATTGTTTCTTATTGCAGCCATTTCCTTGGGGAGATGGAAATCACACATTGTTCCACAACTGTGAGAAAAACGCTCTGCCAGATGGCTACGAGGATTGCGAGTGCGGCACCAAACATTAATATGTCTGTTTTTGGTTTCCTCTATTTAGTTTTGGCAAGTGTTGTTTCCCTTCACAGATAGATCGAATTGATAAAAACAGTTAATAATTATTTTGTTTAGTAAAGGCTAAAAAAACGTATTGTTCCTTTTGGTAACTAAGAGTTTGTCAGAGGGATGCCAGCAAGTGACTGTTTACACAAATCAACGTGCTTATGAAACTACTGTCTATGAAATGGAATTCCATATCTAGCAGCAAGATAGGGTGAAAAGCTGAAAAGAACCCTTAGATTAATACATTTTAGGTACTTAAAATAATAATAGAATAATATATGTTTGACACTTAGATTAATAATAGAATAATATATTTTTCACTTCGATTAATAATGGAATAATATATTTTGGCACTTACATTAATAATAGAATAATATATTTAGGCACTTAGATTAATAATAGAATAATACAATTTAGGCAATTAGATTATTAATAGAATAATACAAGTGTGGCAATTAGATTAATAATAGAATAATACAATTGTGGCACTTAGATTAATAATAGAATAATACAATTGTGGCAATTAGATTAATAATAGAATAATACAATTGTGGCAATTAGATTAATAATAGAATAATACAATTGTGGCAATTAGATTAATAATAAAATAATACAATTGAGGCACTTAGATTAATAATAGAATAATACAATTGTGGCAATTAGATTAATATTAGAATAATACCATTGTGGCAATTAGATTAATAATAGAATAATACAATTGTGGCACTTAGATTAATAATAAAATAATACAATTTAGGCACTTAGATTAATAATAGAATAATACAATTGTGGCAATTAGATTAATAATAGAATAATACAATTTTGGCACAGATTAATAATAGAATAATATATTTTGGCACTTAGATTATTAATACATTTGTTACTATGTTGATAGCTAGATTATCATATTCTTTATAGTTTAATCAGCATAATGTTGAAAGTTATATTACAACAAAATAATATTGTAATTTGATTATAACAATTTAGGTGGATATGTTAACACATTAATAATAATTAAAACATTATAAGATTGACAGTTTGATTATCACAATATTGTTAGTTGATCACAGTGTTGTTGGTTTGATTATAATATCACAACATTGATCAATTATCCTAATGTTGATAGTAAGAGTCCTCCGTCGGCCGTGGTAAGATTATTACATTGTTGATAGCTAGTTACGATTATCCCAAATTTGATAGATGATCACAAAGTTGATATTTAGATTATCACAATCTTGGTTATCCTAGTGTGTAATCTTAAGTATCCCAAAGTGGATACATAGATTATCATATAGTGGTTCGTTATAATATTATAATGTTGGTATTACATTAGATTATAACACATTTTGTAGTTAGATTATCACATGTTAGTAGTTAGATTATCACAATTGATGTTTAGATTATAACATTTTGATGTTTAGATTACCCCAGTATGGGTAGTTAGGTAATCATAATGTTTACAGATTATTACAGTGCGTGCAGTTTACCTGTACAGTAGTTGTTAACAACAGTAAGTTAATTTTCAAAGCTACATTTTTTGCATTTTTAGTCAAATTTTGATTGTAGGATTCTAACAATTTTCACAATGTTAGCAGTAAGATTATAAAAATATTTCTAGTTGGATACTACATAGTATCAGATTTCAGATCCAATACACAAATAAGACAAGAGACCAAGTAAGATAATTTATCCAATTTTTAAAGAAAGCGCCGCTGGAAGTACATCGGCCATGCACTCACAATAACCAAAGAAAGACTCTTAACAAGCCCTCATATTGACACCGGAAGGGAAAAGAAAACGGAGAGGACCGAGAGAGACCTTGGGTAGAACCATCATCAGGGAAGGCTCAAGCATGGGGGTAATGAACATCCAAGAGCTAAAACAGGTGGCAACAAACCACCAGACATGGAGACCTATGACCTTTGCCTTATGCGCCGCTCTAGGCTCAAGAGGAAAGACTAACTACATAGTTCATAGGCAGATAACAGTGATCTTGGCTGTTGATTTATACTTGTGCGATAGATAACCGATTCTTATTTTAACTTCATTATTACAATGTTGACAGATGTTTACATTTACGATTAATAGATTATTTTATGTTGATAGAGTATCTCAATTTTGATAATAACAGTGCTGATAGTAAAATTATTTCGCTGACTGTAGGATTCACAACACATACAGTAAATCACATAGTTTATAGATTGCCACGACATTGATGGCTGGATTATAATGAACAAAAGTGTATCGCTAGATTATCACATGTTGACCATCATCATCCTGAGGTGCCTTGCCGACTGGTGTGGGCGATCATGCCTCTCTACAATCTGCGATCCACAGCTGCATGTATCAGTTCATGTGTGGCCCCCCCCCCCCCCCCCCTTTCCCCTCTGTGCTATGACAAAAGACCGTAAAGAAGTTTCTCGCGCTGTCTTCTGCTGTTTCTCTTTTCACAGATCATTCCAGTGGTCACAGCATTGTTAATTAGATGTTGAGACATGTTCAATTTTCCCTTTTCTCATAAAACAGCCAAAAAATTATGACCGCCCCTTTATGTTTGTTTGTTTTAGTATCCAGAAGCCATGAGTTGTTAACCCTTAGGCTCGGTATTATGGATATCGCAACCCTTCGGCCCTGATTCCATTATAGGTACCGTTAATCTGGGAGAAAATGTGGCTTTTCTGCCTACCCACGGGAGTAAACCCGGACCTGAAGGAGTTCGTCACCAGGTCACCGCGCAATCCGGTTTAGCAAACTATGCTAGAGAGCCGGGCACCCCTTTATTAAGTCACTATTCATTTCTTGGAAATCACCGTTACTTCTGTCTTCCCATTGTATCACTTTCTGCCACAACGGTATCTGTCAATTGCTGTGGTTCTTTCTGACTTGTCACTATCAAGACGGTGTCGTCAGCATAACGCAGGTTGTTTATGTTATGACTACCTGCCACAATCCCTGTCATGTCTATGATAGATCTAATTATAAAATCACTGAATTATGAAAACAAATCGGGTGATAATACACATCCTTGTCGTACTCCCCTCTTTATTCTCTGAAATGTTCGCAAATTGTTACTAATTCTTATAGCTGCAATTTGTTGCCAATACATGTTTATTATAATTCGTAAATCTTTTCCATCAATGTTTAGCTTTTCCATTAGTTCATTTCTTCATGTTTAAACAGTCAAATGCTTTCATATAGTCAGTGAAGCATGAGGAAAGATCATTTTTTTTTACATAAGACTTATAGTGCGATAGTTTTTACATTTAAAATTTTTTCATTTTTCATGGTTTCTTGGGCAGACACACATTGATAGACTATCAAAATGTTGATAGATTATGACACAGTTTACAGATTGTCACAATGCTGATAGTTAGATTATCACATAGTTTATAGATTGTCACAGTGCTGATAGTTAGATTAGGACATCGTTTACAGATTGTCACAATGCTGATAATTAGATTATCATATAGTTTATAGATTGTCACAGTGCTGATAGTTAATCACATAGTTTATAGATTGTCACAGTGCTGATAAATTATTACATAGTTTATAGATTGTCACAATGCTAATAGTTAGATTATCACATAGTTTATTGACTGTCACAATGCTTATAGTTAGATTATAGCATAGTTTATAGACTGTCACTATGCTGATAGTTAGATTATCGCATAGTTTATAGACTGTCACAATGCTGATAGTAAGATTATCACATAGTGTTTAGATTGTTACAATGCTGATAGTTAGATTATCACATAGTTTATAGATTGTCACAGTGCTGATAGTTAGATTATTGCATAGTTTATAGACTGTCACAATGCTGATAGTAAGATTATCACATAGTGTTTAGATTGTTACAATGCTGATAGTTAGATTATCACATAGTTTATAGATTGTCACAATGCTGATAGTTAGATTATTGCATAGTTTATAGGTTGTCACAATTCTGATAGTTAGATTATCGCATAGTTTATAGACTGTCACAATGCTGATAGTAAGATTATCACATAGTGTTTAGATTGTTACAATGCTGATAGTTAGATTATCACATAGTTTATAGATTGTCACAATGCTGATAGTTAGATTATTGCATAGTTTATAGGTTGTCACAATTCTGATAGTTAGATTATCGCATAGTTTATAGACTGTCACAATGGTGATCTGATAGTTAGATTATTGCATAGTAGATTGTGACAATGCTGATAGTTAGATTATTGCATAGTTTATAGATTGTCACAATGCTGATAGTTAGATTATCACATAGTTTATAGACTGTCACAATGCTGATAGTTAGATTATCGCATAGTTTATAGACTGTCACAATGGTGATCTGATAGTTAGATTATCACATAGATTGTCTCAATGCTGATAGTTAGATTATCACATGGTTTATAGAGAAGCATGGTGTGTTGATTGCTAGGTTATCACAAAGTTGACACATTTTCAAAGTGTTGATAGTTAGATTAATAATAACATGGTTGATAGTTAGACTATCACAATGTTGGCAGTTACAATATCACAGTATTAATAGTTAGGTTACAAGAATGTTTGTAGTTTGACTATAATGATATTTTTAATGCTACTACAAGTCAATTTGAAACTTTGAAGTTTCAGTTTTTGGATTTTCAGTGAAATTGCAGTAGTTTAATTGTCACAATTTTCACAATGTTGGTAACTGCAATATTAAATTATGTATTGTTGGAGACTTTAATTTCATAAACAGTTAAATGTGACAGCTGGAGTCTTGGCTGTTAAAAACAATTCTTTTGGGACAGTTAGATTATTAATCTTAATAAATTTGATCATTTTGATGACAGTTGGATTATTACTTGTTTGATTATTAGATTATTTTAAATTATTTGGGGCTGATAGATTATCAGAAAGTTTTCAATTAGTTTTGATAATTGGATTATAACAATTGTGACAAATAAGGTGGCAATTTGTTTTTAGCAAATTTGATAGTTGAATAGTC